GCTATCCTGACTCCGTTCCATTTAGTACAGACACTGACCACCTACTATATAATAAAACATATAGTCTCTAGAGATTAAGAACATCTCATTTTCAGAATCTAGAATCTGAATTTTATTTTTTTTAATTCTTTAAAAATGTTTGTTAACTTTTGAGAGAGAGAGAGAGAGAGCATGCACGTGCAAGTGAGTGGGGGAGGGGTAGAGAGACAGAGGGAGACAGAGGATCCAAAGGGGGCTCCACATTGACAGCGGAGAGCCGGACACGGTGCTTGAACTCACCCACCGTGAGATCATGACCTCAGCCAAAGTCGGATGAGTAACCAACTGAGCCGCCCAGGTGCCCCTAGAATCAAAATTTTAGAGCTTCAGGCCATTTCCAGATGGCCTATAGTCTGATCCCTTCATTAAATAGATGATGAAATGGAGAGCCCCAAAGTGGAGAAAGACTGTCCCCCAAAGTCAAAAACTCTAATGGCAGTGGCTTTCTGGATCTTCTGCTTCCTGCCCACTCTTCTTTCCATTTCATTGCCTTGAAGCTTCTGATTCTGCACACGCCCGTCCTTCCAAGTGGTTATTTATTATCTCCTCATGATTCTCTTAGATGTCTATGGTCTCATTTTGATGCTAATATGATCTTCCAATTCTTTAACCTTATGGTTTTTTTTTTTTTCATGGCTTGCTTCTTCCCTTTGCCTGACCACACACCTGATAGATTTGTCTCTCCTGAGTTTCATAGACAATTCGGGAGTGCCACGTATCTTTTGAAGACCTGGGAAAGGAAAGCGGTCTACAGCGACCCTCCTGAGACCTTCCCCCCAAAAAGTACTGGCCCTTAGCTCCTTAAAGATAGTTGGGCTTGTCCAAGGGCAAAGGCTGGAGACCCAGACCTTGCTTTTCAGACACCCCTAGACTGGAAAACATCCTTTGGGGGTAAAAATGAGGACATGAAATCGCTTGCTGTGGTACCTTTCATTCTGTTAAGGACACTGAAAACACAGTCTGTCATCCTTGACATTTTAATTGAAAGAAAAGCTTACATAGATTTCAGCCGTAAGCAGTATGTTTATACAAGTGTATAAAGAGGAATAATCTGTCAAGTTGGAAAACTCTTAATGCTGCGGGACTCAGTTTAGTAATTGAACAATCCAACATGAGCTCACACATCTTACCTTGTTCCATGCCTCAATAATTTTTAGTAGAAATACTTTACCTAGAGGCATATGGTTATTAAAAAGGAGGCTCGGCTTGCTCAAAGTCTGGAATTATTAGCTCATGGCAACAAGCCCGCACTGGAGAAAGACTGTTGGGTCTTTGTTTTCACAACTTTACTGCGATTTGCCATCTTATTTTCAGAGTCTAACTGATGTGTTGTTTGGGAAGTTTCTTTTTTTTTTTTTTAAAGGAAGAAAACATAATTTCACATGGATGAGTGACTTCTCGTGTTAGCAGTACTGCAGAATGTTACTACTTCGTTGCAAAGTCCAGGGAGCAGTGTGAATATCAAAGGAAATAGACCGTGAATTTATTTTAGTGTAAAAAATCAATAATAACTTAGTTATGGGAGCCATCAAGGTGTGATGGGGGAAGCCCTATGTTGCAAGTTGAATAGAAGTCCTGCTTCTTTTCAGGACCCGTGTGACCTTGGGCACATTTAAATGTTTCTGAATTTAGCTTACTCCGAGTAAAATAGGGGTAATCTGACCTACCTACCACATGGCATTGTTTCAAGTCGCATGAAGGTGAAAATATTTTGAAAAATATGAAACTATATAAGTGCAACATAAAAAGTTTCATGCAAGTGCAATGTGTTAGTAATTATTTCTGTATACACAAGGGGAATTAGATAATTTATGTAATTATTCCGATACCACTCTTGCTTCAGTGATCAGAATATTCTGGACAAATGATTATTTATTGGGCCAAGCTACATAATTACTTCAGTCTAGTCCTTTGTATGCCCAGTGATGGGTAGAATGGATTTTTTTTTTTCTTTCAGTGTTTGTAGTTTTAAAAGCCCAAGCAAGAAGCCTAGAAAATGACGCAGTTTTGTACATAGGTTGGGAAAATTGTTTGTAGAATCTGTGTAAAATAGTAATTCAGAATTCTTCAGAGCCCAAACATACAGCGTTCTCAAATAGCCATTTCTATTTCAAGTATATATTGTTAGCTGGTTTGACTGCTGCCATTAGGCAATTATTATTATAATTCCAAGGGAGTTCAGTACCCTGAAAGGCTTTCTTAATTAACGAGGGAATGCTTGTTATTTAAAAATCTAGTACATCTATGCATGGTGTGGAAGCAACTGATCTAATAAGAACATTGATTAAATGAAACATACCATTCCCCAGCTACTGTATCCAACTGGGAGTTTTCCATAGTTTTGTGAAGCATGAAAACTCATTTTAAATTTAATTACTTTTGCATCTCCATTCACATCAGCGCTGTTTAATTGATTTCTTTTTTCATAATAGCTCATCAATAAACACTGATCACCGAGATCATCATTAATATGCCATGTTGGAAACAAAATGTCAATGACGATACTATGCCGCTCTTCCTTTCTGAGGATGATATGGCATATCAACATAATAAAATGTTCTCAGTTATCTCTTTTTGCTTGTCCCTGTCTATACCCAAAGCATTCCTCCTGGTGACTAGGGAAACAGACATATGGTAGAAGGCTTAGATGTACCTATATGTATGTGTACATGTATGTGTGTACATCTATCCATCTGCCTGGATATCTATAGGCGAATGGATGGATAGATGATTACCTATCTGTAGAGATGCTCTCAGTGAGTCTTTCTCATTTTAAAACAGGGCAGTTCAGATTACTAACTTTGCACCTAGAGGAACTGAGCATTACTATACAGCTATTTTCTTTCCAGATAGAGCCACATTTATACTTCTGTGATTCGAGCTATCCACCTCTGAGTGAGATAAGCTTTAGGACCCAGTGAAATTACAGCCTGCTATAGAATTTTGGAGCAATGGACGTCAGCAGTTTCCTAGAACTCTGAAATGTGAAGGACCTTCAAAGACCCTACTAATCCTCTTGTTAATCTATACTCCAGAAATCCCCAGGGCACATGTCAAAAAAATACCCATAATACTCATTTGCTTTTCTGAAAACACTCATTTTACTGTTACAGGCTACTTACATTGGCCTCTCCGTGTAACCACTCATGTACATGTTCCGTTAATAAAGCTGGGTGCCATTTGTGTACCTTGACATGGAGTCCGTGTAAAGGTTTTATATTCTTTTATATTTTCATGTATGTAACTTCTTTTTGTAATTTTTTTTAATGTTTACTTTTGGGAGAGACAGAGTGTGAGCAGGGGAGGAGCAGAGAGAGAGAGAGAGAGAGAGAGAGGGAGACACAGAATCCGAAGCAGGCTCCAGGCCCTGAGCTGTCAGCACAGAGCCCGATGGACGCAGGGCTTCAACTCACGAACCATGAGATTATGACCTGAGCTGAAGTCGGACGCCTAACCGACTGAGCCACCCAGGCGCCCCTCATGTATATAACTTCTTAAACATATAAATATTGACCAATTTATGACTAATCCTTCCAAGATGCATGTGCCTGTGATAGCTAGCTATATACCCAAGGGAGCTATTAGGCAAAAGGAGTAGAAAACCTAATCTTCTTTGGAATTTCAACAGCAATGCAAAAGAAGAACATGTTGGCATTGTTTCCCCTGTCTCAATCTCCCACTTCGCCCTAAGTCAGCCACGGGAGGCGAGGCACATGAGCTCCAAAGAGGCTTCTCACAGTACTCTGGACCGGACTGTCCTCCCCTGAAGCATAGAGAGGCACCCAGCCACACCAAACACCTCCATCTGCCGTCTTTACCCAGCACTTAGCAGGAGGGAATCTTTTTTTCTTTTTAAGAAAATGCATCAATTCTGGAAGCAGAAGCTTCTTTCGTGGCATTCAGGATAAGGTGTCTTAACATGGGGGCCTCAGAGGTCCTCGGGGGGGGGGGTGTTTGTTTATTTATTTGTTTTGTTTTATTTGTTAAATCTTTAACTGTTTGACATTTATAGAGCTCCCTGGGGCAAAAGTATCAGGAGATTGAGAATTTAGCTGAGGAGGTCACTTATTTGCCATTTTTCATAAACACAAATAATTTCCTTTTTCCCTCAGCCACACATTCCCTGGCTCATTAAATCAATTTGAGTTCCTGAAAAAATTTTGTTCTCAGGCAAATTGAAGCAAAAGCTCAAACTGTGTACTCCCCCGAGGAATGCTTACCCGAGTTCTGCGGGTCAGGCCAAAATCAGTTTCTGTCAAACAGCCTAACACCTCCAGTTATTATAAAATGAAGGATTGGTAATTGGGGGCTGGGCTCAGGCCTTGCCCGAAAAAGGCCAGCTATAGTGGCATGAACCTCAGTCTTGTTCCTTTGGTTCCTTGGTCCTGGCTTTGTTTTTTGTTTTTTGTTTTTTTTGTTTTTTCCACCCACGCTGGAGAATTACGAAAAAGTCAACACAGATTTCTATTGGGAGTTCATGACTAACGTTGGCTATTCAAATCCAGACGGTGCAAGTATGTTCCGTCCAAAGCCAGGAGGGCTTCCAGGCAGAGGCTTAAGAGAGTGTGGATAAAACAAACGCACACAGATCTCAGGGTCTAAGTTCCTCCCAAAGGGCAGAGAATTCTGAGCAAAACACAGGATTTCGCCCCCAAGTCCCTTCCCTAAGAAGCAGGGGTTGTAGGAGATTTACCGACTTGTTGACTATTGAACATGAGTTAGATAACAGAGGTCAGGAAATGAAGTGGAATTTGATGTATTAACTAGGAAGCAGCAGAGGAAGCCAGGCTTGTGTTTTATTTGTTATTATTTCCCTAATATCCTCAATTATGTGGTTCCCATCAGAGGATCTGATCTGTTGCTCATGTAATGGTGTTGTCCCCGCTGGGTCTGGACACAGGCAGTGAATCCCCTGCCCCAAGGCATCAGGAATAATGTCTGCTTTTTGTCTGTGTTACCAGGCCTGTCCCAGGCTCTCTATCTTCTCTGCTACATCTCCACAACAGACAGAGACAGCCCATGCCAGCCTCCATGCCTGGGACCCTGCCCAACCCAACAATGCCGGGATCTTCTGCCGTCTCCATGCCAGTAAGTGCTTCTTGCTTCCACCGAATCCTGCTCTTTTGAAGGCACTAAAGAAAAGCTGAGCTCTAAGCTGGGAAGAGAGTGGCTGCTTCTGGATGAAGAGTTGAGCTGTGTGCTACTTTGGGTAGAGTGCCCGGTTGTCTGTTGCTAGGTGTCTTGCTGGCTTTCCTGTCCTTCAGGGCTCTCCTAGTGAGGCCTGGCCCCAACTTCCTGCGGGCGAGCGAGCTTGCCACACCCAGGGAATGGAATTTGTTCAAGGGCACAGTGTTTTATGACTCGCCCAAAGCCTGTATAGCGTGGGCTATATACAGAGTGTCTCTAACTCACCAGGGAGTGGTCTAGCCAGGACTCAGAGTAACAATTATCATGATAAAAGTAATAATGATGGTACATAATGCCTGCTAGTATGTAGTCCTGGGCATCATGTTCCACTAAGCATGCTCACAGCATTTATCGGGTGCTTACCGTGTGTTAGTCCCCCCGTAAGCATTTCATCAACACATGGAACAATCCCGTCAGGTACGTACTATTTCTATTCCCCTTTGTTCAAATGAGAAGAGTAAGGCAGGTAGCTTGCTTGGCTGAGAGGCAGCATCGCTGAGTTTTAAACCCACCCCGTCACCTCCTGCATGATATGTACATTCTCTGCTTTCACCGTCACAACAAACCCGCGAGGGACGCCTTGTTATTACCTCCATTATACAGACGAGAAAACTGAGGCACTGGCCGAAGGTCACAGTTAGTAAGTGATGGAGCGTCTGGATTTAGATCCAGGCGGTATGACTCTAGAGTCTACACTTAATCATTATATTATACCCCCCACCTCTGAAAACAACGCATTCGCCTAGAAGGGACATACAGACTATTCCAGAGCAAACCTTGCTCTCCTTCCACGGGATCCCCTCCCCGTCTTTCTTCATCCTCCTTGGCTTTGTAATTCGGGGAGCATGGTTGGTGTCGTTATTCCTGGGGCCACAGGAGTTTTTCAGAGCCCTAGAGGTGATATGACAACTCAACGAAAACCCTTCCGCACCAGTATCAACAATGCCTGGCAGAGCATTTGGGCATTTTTAAGAAATTGTCTGCATTTGTCACTTCACGTTGCTGGCATCGCCATCCTGTGGGAATGGGGTCGCGGTAGTTATTGACGTGCTCATCTTACAGGCGAAAAGCTAAAGGGTAAGAAGTTGAAGGCAGCCGCCTAATGTCACACAGCTGTGACAAACCCCATCGCAACTTGCGCCGAGCAGCTCAGATTCTCGAAGGTTGAGCAGTTGGCTGGTTTATCTAGGTGGAGGTGGGGGGGGTGGGCAGGAGCGTGGAGGCCCAAATTCAGAGAAATGGACCTGCCTACGACAAGTATTGGATGGTCCTGGCTAGAAAGAGTCTTTGCAAAACCGGGCCAGAAGGAACAGATGAGTTGACACACTTTACCTGCGTTGCTCACCGTAAGCATCTTTAGGGGGAGGGACAACAGTGCCACCAAGGCCATTATCCCAGGTTTTATTCAACCCAGCCAGCTGCGCCAAGACCCCCACCATAAGCTGTCTTCGTGTAGACTGTAAATCCCTCTTGTCCAACGTTAGTTTCCTTTCATAAATTCCATCCATTAACTAGAAAAAGGCCACTGCGGTGACCTTTTTGTCCCACTTGAGTAAACCGTACCATTTCCAGGGACAAAGGTGGGACACGGGCTCAGGGAGCGCAGAGAACAGGCATCTCGCACTGGTTCCCCCATGTCACGTCATTATACACCGTGACCTCCTGTTGGTGCTTCAGAATACAAGTAAAAGATCAGGTGCGTGATCAAGAGCCAGTGTAGACAGCAAGTCAGGGATGCTATCCCCACACGAGTTCCCAAGCCCTTGTCACTGACGCGGACAGCTGCCATGACAATAGTATCAGTCTAGAGCACTGATTCTCAACTGGGGGCGGTTGTCTCCCGCAGGGGATATTTGGAAATGTCTGGAGATCCTGCTGCTCCATCACAACTGGGGAAAGGGTGCTACTGGGGTCTGTAGGGAGAGGCCAGGGATGATGTTGAACATTCTACCAGGCACAGGACGGCCCCCACAAAAAAATTATTTATTTGGGCCCAATAGGTCAACAGCACTGAGGCTGAGAAACCTTGGTTTTAGAGTGACACTAATGTAACTAATAAAAACGATCATAAAATCGCTAAGAAAAGATACTTTACGAGTCCCTGGTTCTAGAAATCTAGGCCTACTCTTCCTTGTTATCAAGTCTCCTGCTCCTGTCCTAAGATTTTGGCATTTTTAAAAAAAATGCTTATTTATTTTTCAAGGAGAGAGAGACAGAGCATGAGCAGGGGAAGAGCAGTGAGAGAGGGAGACACAGAATCCGAAGCAGGCTCCAGGCTCCGAGCTGTCAGCACAGAGCCCAACACGGGGCTTGAACTCACGAACCGTGACATCATGACCTGAGTTGAAGTCAGACACTTAACCGACTGAGCTGCCCAGGCGCCCCAAGATTTTGGCACTTGAAAGCATAGTCTTCCTCTAGAGTTCCTGCCCTGGGAAACCACGATTCCCTTGGTATAAGAGATCAGCCTGTCTGTCGGTGAAGGTTAAGATTCTGAACTCATGTGAAGTGCACACTGCCAGACCCCACATCTCACAAGGTCCTCGGTCAGAAGCAAAATGATACCTCTGTTCAGGGATTGATTCACTCGTTCCCCAGACTTTTGCTGACACCTGCTGTGGGTCAAGGGCTGTACTAGATCCTGGGGATGTGGTGAACAACAAGGCAGGATTTCACTGTATTGTGAATTCCTACCTTGAACATCAAATGTTGACATAATTTGGGAAGAGGAACCCTCCTGTGTCATTACAAAAGCCCAGTGACCTGTGGACATTTGAGCTGCCGTTTTCTGATTTGTTTCAGGGGGAAAGGAGAAGCCTGCCCCCCCCAAAAAAAAGGTAAAAACCTTTATCTGGATGTTTTACCTGCAGTGCTAAATGTTGCTTAGTATTCAGCAAACCACTCCCATCTTCTGACTTCTTGATTCTAGTCGCCTCACCCGAGCACACTTGTGAGGCAGAGCCTTATTAGTATAAGCGCCAGATAGTTGTCTCGAAGAGGCTCTTGCTGAGCCCTTATAATCACTAAGGTGGAAAAATGCAGTTTTTGTGTTTTTTTTTTAGGTAGAGAAATCAGCCTGTTTTCAACATGCTGTTGAATTTGTGAGTCATGGAGTAGAAATAGTCACAGACTGTAACTTTTCCACAAAGAGGGAAACCCGAGGCTACAAGTAAGCTGCCCTCACGTCCTCGTAGTGCCTGATGGCTAGTAGCTTGGAAACTTTCGGATAATCATTTGTGCTTCTCCATGACCTTCCTTCTGGGAAACTGAAAGCAAAAGCTCATTTGGACTTGATGTGCCTCCAGGTGAAGGTCCCCCATTGGAATTGTCAAGTGCCTTTCCAAGTCTTCTATCCTCCAGCCTCTGGAAGGGGCGGTTATAAGGAACAAGCATTTTGTGGAGCAATCTTCATGAGTTACTGGTCAGAGTACACGGATGTACTTAATAGCACTGAACTGCACGCTTAAACATAGTTAAAATGGTAAATTTTATGATACACGTATTTTACCAGAATTACAAAAGCAATCATAAAAAAATAAAATACCCAGGCTACCTGGAGACTCAGGGCGTATGTGAGAGTGAACATGTTATTTTACTGAATCGCTAAGGCCTCAGAAGTTTTTGCTGTCATGCCCTAGAATGTATAGAAAATTCTTCACCAGATAGCTCCTTTTGAAGCAGTTTCACACCACCGTCCACTGCCAGATAACTGGTCTGTTCTGTCAGGCTCAGGTACAGCTAATGGTGCTTTGCTGGGACAGGGACTGTCCGCCTGTCACTCATGTCATTTAGTGAGCACCTCTGTTACTCCACACATTAATGTTGTAAGTACAGTCCCGCGCCTGGGCAGACCCAGCAGGGATTGAAGGGATGGAACTCAAGGACGGCAGGGACCCAAAGGGGACATTTACCTCAACTTTGACTCTCCACTCTTGTCTGTGAGGTTTCTGTCCTCCACTCTTGGAAGAGTTCCAGTGATAAAGAACTCTGTATTTTCCAAGACTACCCCAGCTGACTTTGAGCAGAAACCAGATTCTCTGAAATTCTTTTTTTA